TTGGCGATTTTGACGCGGCGAGTAAGTAAGTGGCGCCAAAGGAGCGCCTTGTCATTTTTGTTGTGCTCGCCGTCAGTGCACGTGTTACCTCGATAGTGGCACAAGGGCAGGCTCAAACCAGTGAGCCCCCGCTTTATTTGGACAGCGCGGCAAACAAACCGAGCCCTGCTCTCTGATTCACTGCCACGTAGGGCGTGCGCCTTCCGAGGGGAGGGCTCTTGAAACTGTGGTCAAGCGGCAAGCGCATGCGCTTAGAGAAAAGCTATGGACATGCGGTGACTATTTCGTGAAATGGCTGGATAGACGTCAGCCTTCCGGCACATGCATCTGGCACGCACCAAAACTGCTCACTGGGCCTCAGCGGGCCCCTCTCTGTTTCACCGTGCAGCCTGTGCCGATCGCTTGGCTTATTCAAAACCTAAGCCCCAATCATCGGATTGCGGTATTATGCGGTTTACGGATTGGACTATGCGCTTTACGGAGTACGGCGAATACGAATTGTGGGTTGCATGAGTGTTCGATGCTCCAGCAGGATTCGAATCGCACTTGGCAGCGCGGATGCCAAGCAACGGAATAAGAAGCTTCCCGACCAGAACCAGGATGAAACGGATTAGGGATTGCGATGAGGCAACTTTCGACCAGGCCTTTGTTTTTCCAGCATGTCATACGAAGATCGTCTCTGAACCCAACCAGCGGGCTTGATCAGCGTCATGTGAGTCGCTACCTCAAACTTGGCCGAACGCAGCGCCCGTGTGGCCTGATGGAAAGGAGCCGGTTTTTTGCAAATGAACAATGTGCGTGTAAGCGCCCGGAGCAAGCGATGCAAACATCTGCGCTTAAAGAACCCTGGCAAGCAAAAACGCGCCTGACTCTTGGCCTAGCGCAAAGGAAGTGGCGCCCTTTTCCGCCTATTGGAAGTTGGGCAGTTGAAATTGCCCACACGCACAACTGCGCCCGATGCCCCGAATCCTTGCCCCAAACCTTGCGGGCAGCACACGCACTTCGAGCCCGTTGGGACGCGATTACTGGTGCCAAAGGGCATGGTTGGAAGCCGGGGAGGCTTCTCTGCGTTAATATTCCCAGGTCAACCCCAAAAGGCTTTGCTTTTTCTAGGGCATCTAGATTTTTGGTAGGGCGATGAGTAAACGATATCATTTCGGGCTCATTAACCCTTCATTTGCCCTTGGGCCACTCGGATGGAGTTGAATGCGCTGCACAAAGGGTTTGGTGAAGTAGATCGCACAAGTCTTAGCCAAGGGTCTGGCATCTTTCAGATGGAGCTGAACATCGAATGCTTTAGGTTCCCCTTCCTGGCCCCTTGAAGCCTTTCTAGGAATGTGCATTGTGAGCGGCTCGTGAAGGCCCAACACTGCGGCAACTCGCGCTATGAAATTACGGCGTGCCGCGGTCCTCACGTACTGCTAAGCTCAATCTGAAGGGAGAGACCCGATACAACAGCATTCCAAGCTCAAATGTGGGCGACTTGCCAATAATTTGCAAGCATCTACCCAGCCCGCCACGTATTTTTGGTCCACTTCTAGAAGCTTAGAGCTTGATTCCCACTCAAAGGATCGAGACTGTATGACGTCTCCCGTGCACCTTTAGGCTCCGTACCCTTCCAAGCTTTTCTTAGCTGCAACCCCTATAAACCATTTATTTTGGGGGCCATCATGTCGATAGCCACGTCCAGGCATTTCTGGCACTGCAACTTGTTGGCAGCACATGGCCTCTCCCACAGGCATTTCCACATCTATTGCAAGACTATCACTCGTCACTTGCCACACTTTCGAGCGAAGGCTATTGCCACGGCTGCAGCGTCCAGCTCGCACCCAACTCTTCCCAAGGCGTGCGAGAGCGGACCGAAACCCAGCGTGCCCGGTGTCTGACTTGCGCCCGAAAAATATGTTAGCCTAAAGTGTTTCATTGTGGCTGCAAGAAAGCACCGGGCCATGTGAACCTGGGGCACGCTGGGTTTTAAGTTTGCCTGTGCAGAGCGCCAGGTACCTTCAGCCGGCAAAGCACTATCCAGATTCCACGATTTGGCCATGGGTTGCATCACCTATGACTCTATTTTGGGGTGGATGAACATCCATTTGCCACCTGTTTTGACAACCACAGCCATTTGGCTCCCAAAGCCGGGGACCCCTGATTCGCGACTTGGTCGCAAAGGAGCGTATAGGCCACGCGGCAGAACGCAGTCTCAATGCCGGTCACCAACTGTTCAAACACAAATTTGGGTGGAACCTCACATTCGGGCAATTCGGGCATTGCATTTATCACTAACGGCCCAGCTGACGGAGAAACCATGCAGACGCCATTTTAGGAAAGCCACCTGTTTGGCCCTGGAGGCAGTCTGAACTTGCCACACTCCATGAGCGGCAAAAGCCGCCAATGGCCAAGCTGCGGGTTACAACGTCCACTCACTCAAGCGGCATGGTTTTGCAAGCTTGACCGGTTGGCTTGATCAACTTCTTACAAGCTAGAGCCTGATGCAAAACCA